ACGAATGTCAGAGAAGGTTGTACCAATCTAGAAAAAAAAAATTTTTACCGATTCAATTTACGCGTGCGGTTTAAATGGACCAGTCCGGGTCAAATTTGATCAGATGGTATTTAACAACATAACAGTAAACAAACCTCCTCCTGCATATCAGTATCTGTGTCGCATCCATAAATCGCATGAATTTCCCTACAAATAAATGTTATTTTAATTATAAAATCTATAATTGTTGTAGACAATGATAGATGAGAATAAATTACCTCATTGGCCGCATTCTTGGAAATACGATTCACAAAAACGGCTTTGAAAACACACAAAAGAGACATTGACACCGTCAAAGTTGTCTGCTCTGCCACACTTTTAACTTTGTTCTGATGCATAACGTATCGAACAAATAAATTATAAAAAGCTCCAGACAGATACATGATAATTGTTCCTATTTCCCAAGCTACCTGTACTCCAAGTATAGTGCATACTATTTTCGATACTTTACACAACTCCAGGTGCACTTGTCTTAAGAACAAAATTAAACATAATCAGAAATATTTTCATTTAAAGAAGAAACTTTCTTTTCTCAAAAAGCTTTTAAAAAATCTAATTTAAATATTCTAAGCGTTTTGAAGGAAATTATAAATTATAAATATATCTTATTATAATGGCAAAATTAATGGACTTTAAATTGATTTTTATTTCAAAAAAATGTCATAAAATTGAATGCATTGAATGAACATGTCTGTTCCAAATATATCTTTTTTATAACAATATATATATAATATATACTTCATAAGTCTTGATTTATTTTATAACAAAATATATATATATATACTTCATAAATCTTGATACTCACTTGATTATTTGTAACAGATGTTTACGTTCTGGACATTTTGTTATCGAAGGATTGCATCTTCGAGATTGATTTTTGAATTTACTTTGAAATTGGTTTTTGAATTGAGATGGAAAGTGAGATTTAATTTGAGATACGACCTGTTCTTGTTTCTTTAGCTTCGAAACATTTATTCGAGATTGCAGTCGCCGACGCCGTCGAAATATCATCGTCGAGAAAAAGACACGCTTCTGTTGTTCAGCATCCATAATTTTGGCATAATCTTTCAATTCAAAAATACCTAATTTTATCTTATTTATTGATAAATTTGTTAAATTCTCACACAAAAATCGGTTGATTAATTTAAATTTTATTTGTAAGCACCTGCGTTGTTGTAACAGAGAATTTTAGATTAGAATCCATTGGCTAATGTCACAAAATAAAATTACAGAGAAAATTATGTACATTAATATATACGGCCTTAAGTCATACGTATGTATACAGAACCTTTAATTTTATAAAAATGTTGATAATGAGTGCCAAAGAAGACGGAGGACAAACAAAATATTAATTTGTTATAAAAATAAATATTATTGTTCAATAAAACTATGTTTTAATTTACTTTTTGTAAGAACGTTTATATTAATTTATGGGATTTTATATATAGATTCTTTTATATAGATACCTACTTATGAATAAGACTGTAATATCAACGTCATACAATATGTTATGTTAAGCAGAACCAATAAAAATTATTAATATTTTATATAATAATTAGTGAGTAAATCTAATAAATATGTACGTAAAAAAAATTTCTGGATTATTTAGAAGATCAATTTACGTACCTTACAAATAGGCAAAATTCACAAATATTAATAGCGTTGACAGTCAACGAATACGTAGTGACCAATATAACATAAATTGCAGCAAATATGTCTGTACGTAATTTTAAGTGAATAAAACCTACGATGTTCAAAATGAAAGAGCTTGTAGTCCAGACGGTTATCACTCCGATTGTCATGAAATATATACTGTCATAATTTACTGACAATCCAAGATGTCGCAATGTTTCGTCGATCTCGGAAATCTTTTTGTGACAAACTTTGAATTTCTACATATGTTAATTTATGATGAAAGAATATTATAACTTACACATATACGTATGTATGTTTTAAAACTATTTTATCTTAATTATATTATAAAGTTCATATATCATGAAACCATAAATAAGTTGGTATAAAAACTGTTTATAATACATCATATACTGTTTCGTTCGCTCACCTTTGTATGCCACCAACCCAGCAACATCTTGAGAAGCACAGACACAATAATGACGTACTGCAATATTTTGTACAGAAAGTATTCTAGCTTCATCAGTCTAACGTTTGAATAGTATTTTTTTTCTATATTGAACGAGCCACTGAAATATATACCGAACACAAACAAAAAATAGATCAGGCTGAGTAGAGATCTTGGATGACCACGAGGATACTCAAAAGCACGAAGTCCCAATAAGCAACTAAGATTTGTCACTAATGCTATCGCTTCGGAGAAGCTTTTTGGACGCGTAAATAACTTCATCTCGTCAAATCTCTCTCTCTCTTTCACACTGTATTCAACTGTCATTTACTCCATCGAAATGTTTTCGTTTTTAGACTTCAGTTAATCGAATATCTAAGAATATAAAAAACGAAGTAATATTTTTTTCACAATTTCTTGTTGATTTTCTAATTACAAGGGAATATTAATTCCAGCAATGCTAACTACTTATCATATAATTAAAATAATAATTAAATAGTATCAACGTATAAATATCACGCACACATGTAAATATTACCCAATTTTCTGTAGTTCACAATTTAAGCGAGAATGGTTAATGATTATGTTAGATGAGACAATAGCACGATTCTTTGTCTTCCTTCGTTCTACTTGCTCTACTCGGTTTCTTGCAGTTTGCAAGTTAATGATCCGTCTTTGGTAAATGAAGGAACATACATAAACGATTATTACGAAGAACACGGGTATGCTAAATGAACGTGCACAAATGAGCCCCCACGGTGGTCTTTAAGCGATCATATAGTGTATCTATATAAAAAGGGTGGCCGTGGAGCAATAAGTAATTTATTATATAACAACTTGCGCGCAGGTATCGCTTTTTATTACATTAATGCAATTAACATTATAATATGCTACCCAGGATCTGCAACAACACATTGCTTAATTTAAGAAAGATCACGTATAGTCATTGCTAAATGTAGATACACATAAATATACAAGTGAAGACGACAGACCAATAGACATGCATTACATATGGCTCAATAAATTCAAAAATTGATTGACAAAATATTCGATTAGAATGTGCTACTTTCTTTAAAAAAACGTTGTAATTTTTATATTATACTCTCTAGTGGATATTTTCTTTACCTTGAAAGAATTATTCATGGAAAATAGTAATTAATGTAAAGGCGTATGAAAGAAAAGTCAGAGGACTACGCGATAAATTAGAGACAAGTATGAGAATTGTTTTTACTTGTAATTTATTTTTTGTTAAATATATAATACAGTCACACAACTCATAATTGATTATTAATTACACATTGCGCATATTGAGTACCACAGAGAACATCAATGTCATCCGGTGCGCGTGTCAGCGATCAAACTTCTCTATAATATTTAAGGAACATATGTTTCATTTATACAGTTAGTATTAACGATTTAACTATTTTACTTTATAGAGGAATGACAGAAATTGCTCGTCGTGACATCTCTTTACAGACGCATTGCATTAATATTCTTGATTATACAGACGCATCGGGTAGAATATTTTACAGTGTGCTATAAAATTATTAAGATAAAAGCAGAAACTTTATTTATTATAATCGACATTTATTTATGAAACTGATAATTATAAAATAAATGTTAATAGCAAACAAATTAATAAATCACCTAACTATTTCGCTTCATCAATCGCTTTTTAATTGTCTTGCCCGCAAAATAAACGCACACAAAAATAAATTCTTTTATGATAAGTGATTTATTTGTATTATAACATTGTCATTTTCACATATCCTTTTCATACTACCTTTACAAATATCTCTTTACATATTTGATAAAAGACGAACTCACATGATTATAAGGTTACCTATAAAGTGCTGACTCTTGTAAAATAAAAATAAAAAATCTAAGTAGCTTAGCTAATTATATTTGATCTTCAAAAAACAAATAAAAGAATTTCATTGAAAACAATGTTGCAAATTGCATTTTTGTTCAATGCTGTCCATGTTTTTATTTTGTTTTGCTCATTTGGGATTAAATTACATTTAAAATAGTAAAACCCCCCCTTCACTTTATGTCCAGTATTATAAAAATAATATAATTTTTTGATGTATCAATGTTATTGTTAGTTGTTGAAAAATGTTAAAAAGAGTTGATAAAAATAAAATAATGAATTTACAATTTAAAACCTATTTTGAAGATTAGGTATTTAGTTCCACAGAAATAAGTTTCTTCCATTCTAATTCATCTGCGTTTTTTTTTCACAGGAAAGCCAGTTTAGTTCGCACGGACAATCAATCTCCAAGCGGATCGAGTCACACAATCGTATTTGCAGAGAACCGGGAAACGCGGGAAGCGCGAGGCGACGATCCGTGAAGTTGGCCTTCTCGTCGGCAATTCCATTCTTTTTCACTTAAGCTCGTACGCCGTATAATCGACAACGATCGAATACGCAGCCGAACGATAACTATCGAGGGTAGAAGGAGAATTTGAAGGAACGCGGAGGGATGCAGTCCCATGGGAAGCCCTTCCATTGTCCCGAAGTGGCCTACTAATCCAGGAATCGGAGATTCGAGAATATCGACGAATATATCGTATAAACGACGATGTAACTCTGCACAGTTAACGCAACTCAACAACGCTTTTCAACAATTATTGAATATACCGAGCAATACCATATTTCTTCTATTATCTAGTGTTCAAATGTATGTGCTAATCGATCGAAAATTGTTTAGTTTCAACCAGAGAAATCAAAAATGATAAAAATAATTTATCCTAAAGAGAGACTCCCCCAAAAAAGATTATTTTATTAATTATTGTAAAAGTGATAAATATAGATATAAACGATATTTATGCAAACGTTTCTTAAAGTTTAGAAAAACGGTCGATAGTCAATTCGCGGTCAGCTTATGATGATGATGATGATGAAACCGTCACAGTTTTCTAAGTCTTCTATCTCTGGTCGTTGAAATACGCAAGTTCAAGCTTGGAGTACATGATTCAGGTAAGCGATATAACAGATTGCCAACCGAAGAATCTCGATTTTCGAGAGCTTTTTGTCCGGCGGCAACGTCGGTTCCCTAACGAGATAAATATTATCCACTTCAAGCAGCAATTTTTCCTTTACATATAAAGAATTCCTTCACATATTAATGTGCTACTGAATTTTCGAAATTAGATTTCTTCTGATAATTTCCGTTTTTCAATAGGATATAAGAAAGCGCATTATACCGAAACACTTGTGACATCAATGAAAGCACAGGGATGTACCGATTGAATAAAAATCCGAAATGAATTTTATTGGTAAGAATAATTATGTCGTTCTGATAAGATTAAACTTTCTTTTAACTCAAACTTTTCTGGATATCAAGAAATATATTGCAGATTTATATCCACCTAGAATGTATGAAGAACAATTTTTTAACAAATTTTAATAAATAATTAATTGATCTACATAGAAGAGAGGCGTAAATTATTAGAAATGAAATTGGGGATGATAAATATCAAAGAACAGCTTTAATTAGTAGAGAATTTTTCTAAATTTCATTAAAAGTTCCGGAAAATCATTTTTTAAGTATTACGATTATACAATAAAAACTTATAAGCAGTTTCTTCGCGATATTTCAGTGCTTTACTTCTTCAGTTTGTTTTGTCTTTGTAGCAAGACTTCGATTCTGCGCTTATCGCAGTCTTACCGTGTGGCATGTGCGGTTCGATACTTTTGGGTGGCCCTTCTTCGCCTGCGTCTTTCTTCCCTCGACAAAGTGCCTGAACCAGGAGCTCCTACACCGTTAACGGCGACCCCGTGGCCGCTGTTCGCCATAGGAACCGTCCTATCCTCGTTCGCAAAATCACAATTGAAACTCTTCATGTGCCTCTGCGTTCCGTAAATGTTCCTTTCAAAAAGGTCAGTCTGATCTACCGCGAAAAATTATCTCCTCACCTTCGCCCTGAACGTAGATTCACGTCGTAAAGCATTATTATCTTGCTTCTCGTAAAACGCAGCTGCAATTATAATTACGATAATTGTCAATCGGATAGAAAAAACGCGGATGACGTTGCGAGAACTTAATTTTGTTGCATGTAACAAAAATTCCAACAATATATTACATAACTTTGTTTCGTAATCTTAATTTAAGATATATTGTCTGATTGATTTGTTTCTTAACAAAAAAAATTTGTAGAGATTATTTATCAGTCATAGAAGTCTTTATTAAAAAAGTACTCCAGTTATTTAACGTTAAACTACAATTAGATATTTATTGATATAAACTGTAATTTTAAATAAAAAACACAATCCTTGCTATTCGTGTGTCGAATTGAGTTTGGTTAAAAATTATGATTTATATTGATAATTTTAAAAATGGAAAAGTTAATATTGTAGTTTAAAACCATTATAGCTTTTAAATAAAAACTTCTATAATTGATAAATAATCGACTTTATTTAACTTTTTTAGGTATCAGCGATTTTCTTCATTCTCCTCTACATTAAAACCATCAAAAATATGTTATAACATAGTCATATGTGATAACGCGGTATTAATCACATTACTGAATATGAGAAGTAAGTATTTATCATTATTTTAATATTGCAATAGTATTGTTCGCATTTATATATATATATATATATATACCTCATATTTCTAGTTACTTTACTTTCCCCTATAATTTAAAAACTATTTAGCGTCTCGATATTTTTGATCTTTAAAAATTAACTACAGATTCATAAAAAAACCATTTGTCGTTAAAATTAATTACAAATTATAAAATATTAATTAATATTGACTTTAACGTTCTCTATGCAATTAAAGTTTAATTTAAATACATATTAAGTTTAATTTATATAAATATTCAGATATTTATGACATTTTATTTGATAAATACGATTTTTAGGAAAGGGCGCTAAGAGACGCGAAATAATAATCAAATTTTTCGCACCATTTACTTTGGGGATTTGCGAAAGCTACGAAAAAATGCAACATAAAAGGGTTCACCCTACTTTCCAGAAATATTAGGGTTCGATCGGCGATAATTGGATGACCAAATATTTGTTCAGCACACAAATGTAACTTACGTAACAGAATTATAGTCATAAAAGAGAATAAAGCCAGAAATAACTTCAATAGAAAGAGAGATATTATATTAAGAAAGCTCCACACTTTCGTATATAGGCAAAAGAAAGAGGAATGAAAGATATAAATTTCTAATACTATGGAATTCCATCGTGTCACCAAAACAGTCGTTTTGAAATAGTCTATTTATGAGAAAGATGTTGCATTATTGAGTGAAACGCAGTTTGCGTTCCGCACAAGTAGCTCGTTCTTCATCAAGTATTGACGAAAAGCAACCCCGAACGACTGCTGCCCGATCTGATTCTTATGGTAAACCGACAATTTGTATGAGCATTCACCACTCTCTTTCTCTCCGATTCTTTCTTTAATATTTTAAAGAAAACCAGATTTCGAGCGACAAGTCTTCTCGGCGCTTCTTTTAATATTTATCATAACACTGCTATCAAACCGATACGATTCCCTGTGGATTTTTTTTATTTTTACGACTTTACACCGTAGGATTTTACGCAAACTCAATTTTGTAAAAATATGCACTTTGTGCGAATTATATGCATAATTCTAATTCTTAAGAAACTTAATTTTAATCTATATTTATATTGAAAGAATTAATGATAATTATAAAGCTCAAATAGAAAATTTTAATTATTAAGAGAAGATTAAATAAGAATAAGTATAATTTGCTTTTGTCTAATATTGAAATAAACAACAATTAATTTTGCGATAGTTCAATTCAAGAAATTTTTGTAAATTTGGTGTGTAAATTGTAATAGTAAATTTAATATTTTTTTAAATCTTTACATGGTATTTCTAATATTCTCGTAAAGTAAAATTACTTATTGCACAATAAACTATCTACTTTTGTATAACAATTAACGTGTGTTTTTATTTATTTGTCTTACTTACCATAGTTTTCCAAGATAAAGAACAAGTTTCCGTTTTTCCTCGCCTATTTTCATCCGGTTTGAAACGGATCACTCTTTTCTGTCGTTCTCAATTAAATTTCTTCACCGATTAAACAATCGCACACGAAATCTTATCCACCTTTTTTTTTACTATCAATCTTAACACAGGAGGAGATTCTTTTGAATATTTCACTTTTCTAAATCACTCGTTCATTTATCGACTCCGGATCGCGATTAGATCAACGTCGATTGTTATCCGCAGCAACAAGATCACTTCTGACAACATCTCGATCTCCCGGCTTCGACGAGATCGTCGGGAGAGAACGGTCAACAGCATCCCTGGCAGAAAAACTGATACAGGGAAAGGTGAGTTTGGCTACACAGAGCTGGCGGGTAGGGACTTTCATCTCCCGTAACCACGCCCTTGATTCCGCCACAGCCTCCCTTGTCCTCTCGTATCCCCAGCATCCCTGATAGCATCCCGAGCGTTCTCCAATCGACTATCGAGAAACGTCCCTGCGAACCCGCCCCAACACCTGACGCCACGTCGCCATTCCGCCGCATTTCGTAATTCACGCGACAGTATTTTACACAGCCTCCCGGATACGAGGACCATTTTATCGATCATTCGACTTGACGCTGAATGTTTTGGAAAACTGGTGCTGGATTCCTGTCGTCGAATGATAATATTATATTTTAACACCGAGCATGTACGAGTATACAAATAGGTAAATGATTTGATCATTTCTAGCATTATATGGTTACGTTTTATTTTAAAAAAGAAATATTTATACCTATAATGAAATATGATATAATAAGTCAATAACATCTATACTTCAGCTGTCATCCACCACAGTCAAGAACAAATGTAATTGACTTATTTGTATCCTATGTCTTATTATATCCTATTAAAAAAATAAATGTACATATATTATATGTATATATATATTTTTCTTTTAAACTTAAATGTTATTAAATATCTTTTAAATTTAGGATTAAAATATTGTTTTACATGAGTTTTATGAATAGGAGCTGTTTTATTTACAAACGCTATGAATATTCTACTGGACAATGATTCGTATAAGCGTAATCAAAATATTTAGTGTAACTATAAGAGAGATGCGGAAATAAAATTATTGTATTATATATAATTTTATTTTTCGTGAAAAGAGTTTATTTCTCTTTTAAGATGATTGTAATATTTATTTTAAACGTATTCTAGGAGCAAGGAGTAAATTGAGGGTGGGTTCATTTTGGAGTAATATAGATTTCTTCGGAGGATCAGGTGGCAGACGCGTCGCATCTGCGCCATTCGGCTATAATAATAATCACAGTCGCATCTTCCGTCGCAGAACATTTCTGTACAAATTAAACCAAGATCCATCAGTTCGTTTGTACAGTAACGTACAGCTGCAATTTTTTGTCTCCTAAAATATGTGTAGTAAACAGTGTGTCTGAAACTTTTGATTACGGTTCGATCAAATTTGATATACTAAATTGACGTTAAAATCGAGAAAGAATACGTGTATTAAAATTAGTTCATTCTTGTAACGTTCATATTAGTAAAGTGGTTGTTTTATGATTGTTTTATGAGAACAAGCAAAATTTAAAAGAAATCGAATTTGAATACTTTAATAAAAAAAGAATTCAAATACTTTAAAAAAGTACTTAAAAAACACTAAATCTGGTAATTTTCTTTAAAGAGAAATAGAGATTTTTCTAATTTAACTAAATTATAATTTGCAAGCTGGTCTTAATTATATTTTTGCTTAATTTAATCTTCAATTTAACTTTTATTATGTAATTTTAACTTTTTTAAATATTTTGACTTAATTTTAACTTTTATCATCTTTTTTTCATGCTTTTTTTCATGCACATTGAGAAAAGCCGAGTTCTTTCTTCCGTCTTATTTTCACGGGGCTTGTATTTGACATGATCGAGGAAGAGAAATAGAATGATGACACCCCCGCTTTATAGGGACAGAACCGCAGAACCCGCAATTATGCAAATTGGTCAATCGGACTTTAATCTACTTCCAATCCGACTGCCAACACCCATCTTGAAAATTGCTCGTGTGGGGGTTGACACGTGCGGCCGAGAGTTACGACGAGGTGCCGCGTGCGAGTACACGCGTGTATAATATGTGTGAACACGACCAATCCTTGCCGCAACAATCAAGGACGTGGCACACGCCCTGCTCGATGCATCCGATTAATGTGTTCCATCAGGCGTCTCGGGTGTTATGAGATAGTTCACACCTCGTTACCACAATGACGATCCTTTTCGCGACCGAAACCCTTTTTTCCCCTTTTATTTCGCCAAACACATGTTTTTATAAAACTTCACAGTTATTACAAATCAATAAAATATTATTAAATTTTATTAATATTATATTAAAAAATAAATTATATTTAACATGAATGTAATAACATATTACACATTTATGTATATTGATTTTTGTGATATTAAAATGGATTTACGCGCGTTTAAAAGATAAAAGTGTTAAAAAATATTTATCGTTAATCTTTAATTTTAAAATTTATTTAAATTTTTTATATATTATTAATAAAATTATATGATTATTAGTTTTTATTATTAATTATATATAAACTTGAGAAATTAAAAGGGATATGCAAAACTTTAATAATAATGTCAGTAACAACCCTATGTATTACAGTAAAGATTATTATTTAAGCATAGAATAAATTATTTCCTTAGAAATAATAAATCATTCTTTTTGATCCTACATAGAAATATATGAACACTCCTCAATTTATTCTTTTTCCTTTTATCACATACACATATTCTTATAGATGTACATACACAAACACATAAAAACATTTATTTGTAAGGTACACTGAAATATTTTGAATACGTAAGAAAGTAGTATACATATTTATAGAAAGAAAAATCACAATAAGGTTCATAATATATGTCCACATCAAAGATACCTAATTCCTGTAAGCATGAAAAACACTTT